AGCTGCTGTTTGAGGCATGACAACTTTAAAATCAATGTTAGTCAGGGAAAGGTAGAGAAGTTTCTCAATTCCGTTCCCGCTCGAATAGTCACGGTAGGCACAGGAGACTCAAAATGTGGCACGGGTCGGCGGTGCGCAATGTCAGCGGTTGCTCAACAAAGTGAAACATTTCAATATGGCGGCCAAAGGCCAGAGTAATGATCTTTCGACAGATGCAGTTCGAGAAGCAGTTTTAGCTGATAGGGATGACTTGTCGTCTCAAGAATCGGAAGAAATCGATGAAGAAGAATCAGTTAATGGAGAATCCGAAGAAGACGTTCTCAGTGAGAAGATTGAGTTGTGTCTTCAGGCATTTGACTCGCTTGATTTACGTGATGTAAATTTGGATATGTTTAAGAAATGCGTGCGAAGACAAATTGAAGCATCTTACCGCGTATTTAAAAGTCCTACTGATCCGTTAAAGATTTTATTGAATGCTCCTGTAAACTGTGGAACAGTCCTTTATGATGAAACCAGACTGTGGCTGGACAAGATCAAATTACGTTTGGGAGGAAAAGTCAGCATCAGGTGCCCTTATCAATGCGAAATAATTCAAAACTTACCAAAAGAAATTTTTTTGGTGTTTCAAAGTGGAGTTGTATGCTCTCGGTTGCAAGATGTTGTTGATGATATTTTTTTCCCTCGCTGAAAATAATAAGTGCTATGCAATATCATTCACAAGGTTGGAAGCTGTTGTTGCATTATTCTCTGTGTTGTCAGGAATGTCAGAAGGGGCAGTCAGGTCATACTTCAAGAGGAAAGTGTCGAATGGAAGAGCTAAAGTTATAGTAAACTTGGAGAAAGACTTTGTTTTCCTTTACAAGATCAAAGCTGGCCAACTCTTGATAACATTCCATTATGGATTTTGGAACACGTTTAGCTTCCCACTCCATAGCTAAGTCACAGTATCATTATTGCTTATTTTCCATATTACCAGACAATGAAAGACTGCATGATTCTAGTTGGTTTTTGGTAACAGTGTTTTAATGAGTTAATAGCTTGAAATTGAGTTGAATACAACTTATTCAATGTTGATAATTAATAACATGCCAAAAAACTTTGTAACAAGAGTAAATAGTATTGTCTAAAAATCAATACAAAATTATTTTGAATACAAATTATGCAGTTGTAGGCTGTTGTTAAAAGTGAGTTGCTTACTGCTGCCCATTTATGTTTTCCAAACAAAATGATAGTTACTTCTATGAAAATGAAATTAAACGCAACTGTTCAAATGCTAATATATGAACATGTCAATAAACTTTGTAACAAGACTAAATTTTAACGAGCATAAAACTTCAGTTTAAATTATTTCTAACAGTGCAATAAAGTTGTAGGCTGGAATGAGAAATGTTGTAGTTGTAGGTTGTTAAAACTCTCTGTTGATTGCTTACTTTTGAGTACTTAGAGTATACTCTAGCTTACGTAAGCTAATCCTAGTTTCTGCAGCTACTATACAGAACAGAGATTCTTGTCTACAGTGATCTTCCCTAGTTGAACTCTCTTCTCAATTTGGGCTCTGTAGTTATGTGAACAATAACAGCACTTCTCTTCTTCAGGCCCTTTGTCAGGCCCTTTGTAGCTTTCCTATTGGTCCTCCCTGAAGGGAGAGGGCCAATGAGGTGTAAGGGATTTTTGATCCAGTAGAGCGAGAAGCTAGAGTGTGTTTCTTTGTAAGGCGATTTAAGCTTGGGCTTCCCAAATGGAAGTGAGATTGCTCAAGAGTACTATAATATACTTTTACGCTCTGTTGTGTATTATACTTAGTCGAGGACAAGGCCTCTGGTGTTTTTAAGCAGTGTAATTTGCATATTATACTCTTGTTTTGTATATGTGTACAAAAGATATGACAGGCCTACACAGACTCCCCTCATGAATTGCGATAGCGATGCATTTTAGCCTTCAATCAAATTTTCGCTCTACCAAGTGTATCTTTTGGAGATTTGCCTCTCTTATATGATATAATTGGAGGTTTAGTATAGATGCTTTTCCATAAGGATCATTTTGTTTGTCCTCCGCTCTGTGTTTTTTGGTGTCCGTTGGAGGCGGAGGTGGGGGTGGAGGTGGATAAATAAATTGTCAGAAATTCTCAAGAATAAATGTAGGGTGTCAATGATTGCATAATCCATTGGATTAAAATCAAAGCATGAGGTTGATTTATGGTTAAATAACTTTGCTCTGGAATGGGTAGTAATTTCCTTGCATTTCCTTGCCCCATAAAGACCAGGAATGAGAGACTAGGGGTGCTTTTCATTAACCCCTTCACTGCCAGCCCCCATGTTACCAACTATGCCAAGCCTATTTTCCTCTTTTTGAGGTATTTAAAGTTGCCTCGAATCAAATGTAATTTACTCTAACAATAGAACCTAGCCCAACAAAAGTATACATTTTCTGAAACTGCAATCAAAAACTTTTATTTTGAGCTTGTGCAGTTATTGATTTTTGAAATTTGATACCTGATGACATCTTAATATAAAAATAAGCATAAATTAGCAAAATTTTGGGGGTACAAATATAAAATTGGGAATTATCTAGCTTGGAAAATTGCTTCACTGGTAATCCAAAGGAACTTAAACAATTTTTGAATAACTTGTACTAGTATTATTCACAGAGAAAACTACCAAATAACAGTTTTTGAAAGAGGACATTTGGTAATAAAATCTGAGCACAAATGGCACTTACATTCATAAGTTGCCATACTAAATTTCACTAAATTATTTACTATGTACAATAGACTTTGATCTAAGGAGAGCTTTCTGATCAAGTTGACTTTCACACCCAGTAATTGAATTTAGGATGATAAAGTTCAAAACAGGGAAAATAGCAAAGTCCTGGGTTGCTCAGACAGCTCTGACAATTGTAGTGACTGTCTTTGTGCACTCCTTTCTTATAGCACACTTTGCATCTCTTCTGAGGCTTTTGTTTAGAGGCTGTTGCTGGAACTGGCGAAACAAAGTGACGCTCAGTAAGTTGTATGATGTTCTCCTCTCTGGGAATCTCCATGTCAGGACCATTTCCATTTTCAAAGAGAAGGGCTGCCATCACTTCACGTTGAAATCCCAGGAATGGTTTTCCATGACCATCCTTCTGATAACCAATGAAGCTGTTGAGCACGGAAAGCTGCATAAAGTGGATGGCCACCTTCTTGTACCATTTCAGTGTTTTGTGAGGCACCTCATAGGGTTTCAGCAGCTGATCAGTGCGGTCAACGCCACCCATGTATTTGTTGTAGTCAGCAATACAGGTTGGCTTTGTCTGGCGCTGATTTGGTGTCTCCTGTCTGGCCTATGGACCACTGAATCATCATGGATGGTATTGAGCATAAACACAACCTTCTTAACTTTGAATTTTATTGCCAATAGCTCATCAGAGCGACAAGCTATTAGCTCATCTCTTCTCAACTGGGCACTCTTCACTTGCTCTGGGAACCCCTTCCTGTTGCTTTGGACTGTTCCACAAGCTAAAGTTCCTTGGCGGCAAAGGTACCTGTACAGTGGCAAGCTTGTACACCAGTTGTCAGTGTACAAATGATATGCCTTCTGCAGCAATGGTTGCATGAGGTCGACGACAACTCTCTCAGAAAGAGAAAGCTCTTGTGCTCTGGGGGCTACGTTTTCTTTCCCTGTATAAATCTTGAAAGAAAATGTGTAACTACTATCTTCACACAACATAAATGATTTCACACCAAATCTAGCTCTTTTTAGGGGGATGTATTGCTTGAAACCCAATCTTCCCTTCCACATTAGCAGGAACTCATCAATTGAAATGTTATGGGCTGGAACATATACTTCCTGAAACTTTTCAGAGATGATCCAATAAAGATCACAGCTTGAACAGTTTATCAGGAGCTGGATCATTAGGTGCAGGCATATTGGAGTTGTCATTGAAATATAGAAATTTCAGAAGCAACTGGAAACGATTTCTGCGCATGATAGCACTGAAAATGGGGGTACAGAACAATGGGTCCTTGGACCAATACATGTCTATAGCAAATGTTGAGTAATTTTCCTTATGGAAGAAACCAACATGTTAGAGGCATGCATTCTAGCATCGTAAGTATTATGTGCTGTTTCCACGCAGTTTTTTATGTCATGTAATGTCAGGTACTAGGTAGCGGCACTTGTCCCTTTTTAGTGCGAAAGTTAAATGTATCTTTCAGAATTACCCACAGGTCGGTTGAACAAATATCATCTGCTGTTTTCAAACTACAATAGTATGTTTGTCAGGGTTGAAATAAAGAAGGGAAATGTGAAGTTTCTCATTAGCGGCTTATTTATTTCTTGCCTTAACTGCTTCTGTAAGAGAGACCAAAAAGTTCCCGAGTTAGTGGCTTTAATATTCTGCAAATTGGAAATTTGTGACAAAAGAAACCAAGAAATTGCTCAAATATTGCTGCAGACTCCATGGCACCTAATGAAAGTGCAAATTATTTTGATCAGTCTTTGAGGAGACTCGTTCATCGATGCAGGATAATATTGGCCAAGTAGCCCTGTTTACCTTCAATACTTCTCATTGAAACGCTTCCCAGTGGTATCAATCGATATTGTTGTGTATTGATTTTGAATTGTTTTATTGTTAACAACAAAGGTGGCAACAGAAAAAGAAAGTGGTATTCCACGACTATCTAATAATTACATTAGTTCTTGTTCATCTGTAATAAGAAAATTTGCATTTTGAGAAAAAACAAAATGCCATTTCTTTGTCAGATATTTAACTTTCTTTCATTTATCCCCCAAAGCAAGCTCATCTTCCCTGTGTTTTGGAGAAAACAAGAGTTTCATGTTACATACCTTTGCGAGGAAAACAAAAGTATCAAGTTACAAAGTTGGCATGAAAAGCCAAATTGTCACGTTTGTTCAACGTATTATTGAATTTAAAACGAACGAAAATCATTGTAAAACACCAGAGTAAAATTTAAAAGCTGTCATGACAAACAGTAATTGTATGTAATTTTTGGACCTTGAATAAAAATACAACCTTGAAACGTACTCACTGCTAAGGGGTAAAGCCCTAGCAGACTACCAAGGTAGATACAAACTGGAAGTGAACAGAGCAGGAGTGAGTACTTATGGAACTACCATGCCAGGGCTATCAATTGCAGTCTGGACTATCTGAGATCGTCTCACTAGTTTCATCTTTTAGACCATCTAGCCTTTCCCATGTTAATTCAGAAAGTGATAGAGATTGTGACAAGACAGAAGAGGATTGCAGCTCCCAAAAAGATCCGAAGTATAAACCACCAAAGAGGAAAAGGAAGTCATCGTCATTGGCATTGCACAAGGAAAAAAAATCTTCAATCACTTTTTCACTCACTTAAATGTTCCAAAAAGCAGTGTAGAGGAAGTTATCACTGTCAAAATATTGTTGGATTTGTTGAAAATGTCAATAGATTGTTGAATTGGTTGATAGAAAAACTTTCATTTATCATGGACTATTTACAATGTAGGTTGTTTTTGGTTTATGTTCCATCATTCTACAAGCACAAAATATAAATACAAAATGTATTCAAGATATGCACAGGTTGTCATCTGTGTGGGATTTGTTTCAGACAATCTGAAATGCATGTGTGTGAAGAAACTGAAGAAAAGAATGAGATTAGAAATGTTTTCAAAGAAAAAATTAAAGTTCAGTTTTACTTTATTGAAGAATACTTACAATAAATACACTGAGGAGGTTGAAAATAGAAACAGAGAAAGATAGACAACCCAAAATCTGTCTAATTAAGGTACTACACTGTGGAAATAGTTAGTACATACCAGTATGTGGGGGTTACAAATCTGAAGAGCAATTGAAAGTCTGACCAGCTTTCTATGGAACATGTTAGTAGATCATTGAACCATGTCATATCACACACATGCAAAAACATTGCATTATTCCACATCACACTTGGTGTTACTGGGAAGAGTTGTAAAAGTAAATCTGACAGCCGTTACAAATTACAAATCAAAGGCAGAACTCAAAGGCTTTAGATTGAAGATGAAGGCAGGTAAGGTAAATGCTGATTATGCACGTTGATTATGCTGATTGTGCATGTCACTTTGTATACATGCCATCACCATTTTGTTTTCCCATATTATCCTCAAAAAGTAAATCTTTTGAAATAAACAACACTGCTTTTTTACGTACCTAAACAAACACCGTTTTGGAGTGAACCAATGAAAGGCTATTTGCATACTCAAGACTGGCTGTGTCTGAAAGAATAAGGCATGCAAATCACCAATAAGGACACTGATATAGTAAACTTCTATGTCATTGTGATTGCATTTGTTTATTGATCTCTGTGTTTCTGTATTGTTACTTGTTATTGATCTATTATTACAGAACATGATAATGTATTAAACGTCTTGTAAAAAAAATATATGGGTAGGCTCTTACACATACCAACATAAACATAAATCTAGCCATCATATTACTGCATGCGCAGTTACCTGAATTGCACGTAGAAGTTGAAGCTAGCAAGGAGTTGAGGCTCTAGCACCATTTTCTGGCACGCTTCGAAGTCCTTATCTCTTTGGTCAAACCATTCAAGACTATGTTCTTCTGGAACCAAATCTCCATGGCCACATTTGCCACCCACCCACTCGTGTTCATTACATACATGATGCAGTACCCCAATCCAGGTATCCTAGAAAAAATGTAATACAGTTCAGATAGATTAAACTTTTCATTGAACCAGTGTCAGTAATGAATGTGTATATCGACAGTTGTGGTCCTAGGAGTATGCAGGATGCCTGTCACATATGAACTCAGTTAATGGCCTTGCTCTCTATGGGTTCTTGTAGCTTAGTGGATACAGCACCTGCCCAGTGTCCAGGAGGTCATGGGTTCAATTCCTGTCAGAGACTCAGATTTTTTGTTTGTCCCATGCTTGTGGCATGTTGATTCATTCACCATTCACATTGCTTTTGTGTATTGACAAATTCTACCATATTGGCAAACTCTACCATACAAGAGAGAGGCATCACCTTCATTACTTTAAGAGCTTCCACATCACTTGCTGTAACTTGCAAATGCTAGCACAGTACCAAAAGTCGTTTATAATATGACCAGACCAGGTCTGTATTTTCCCCATATTTTTCAGGTTTCCAACCTGGAAAGCAAAATACACATGCTAGTCACCCTTTTTGTAGAGGTGTACCGGGAAAGCCTAAAATGGACCAATTTTTACTGTGGTGAAAATGCCATTACATGCTAAATATAGTGTAGGATGCATCTACAGTGAAAATGTCTCACAAGTCCAGAAAACAAAAAGTATGTGTAAAGCACATGTTATTGACAGTGCTTAAATGCCATTCAACGTTTGTATAAGCATGTGGATTTGATGGCAAACTGTCATGTACAGATCAACAAAATGATTACACATCACAAAGGCTTAGAACACTCAACTGTTGCCCAGAAGATAAACACCACTTTTAAACACCATCTTTATACCTTTTCCAAGCACTTGCGAATGCTTTTGGCCTTATGCCAAACATCAAGGCTGCGGAACACTGCTGTGATATTGTCAGCTGGTACAAACCATAACAAACATGAAATTAATACATTCAAACATGAGAAGTTCCATAAGACATCCATACCTCTGCCATGAGAGGAATTTTTTATAATGACCATCTCACCTAACCCCACCCTAACCCCAAACCCAGAAATGCAAATCCCCTCTTTGGGAAGGTTGTTGCTCAAGAAGTAGATCGTGGTTGACACAATATTAAATGCTATCTAATAGTTGAATAATGAAATTATTTATAACTGACAAGTCCCATAAATTGACAAATCAAGTGCAAATACCGTGAACACTTTACATTACATGTAAATTGTATCTTACCAATTATCTCATTTATTGATGTTGAGGCATCAGTGACAACTTCCACTATGTTTATGGAAGAGCATAGTCTTTGAAGAGCATTTTGTAAAGCTGGTCTCTCTGTATTTTGGATGCTAGCCCAACATGGCATTTATCCTACATCCAGAATGTAGTCAGTAACAAGTTCCACAAGTGTCCTGGGGAGTCATACTGGTCATCACCACAGACCACCACTTCCACACTTTTGAACTCTTTAAGAAACTGGTCTCTCTGCCAGTTCCACCATTTGTTGATACAGGGGATGAGATACAGCTGCTGCATTCTGTAGAATGTAGAATCTGAGATGAATGACAGACCAAGGAAACTGCACATCCTTTCAATTTTAGTGAAGTTGTTTCCAGAGAGAAGAATTAAAACAGCATTTTGAAGATTATTGGCATACACCTCATTGATGCCTTTACGACCATGAGGGCATGTCCAATTTATAAGTACTGTAGGGTCAGTAAAGATGGTGTTTTGGCATGAGAGGCTGGCCAGAAATGGAATGGTGACAGGTCTTAAACAAATCCAGGAGTAAATCTAAAGAACATATAACTTTGGTTTCTCTGACTAAAGCAAGTTCTTCAGTAAGAGAAGCAGGCTCCTCCAGCCTGCTTAGTCTAAGTTCAGGGAAGCTTGGTTGCTGTTGCTGTGGTGGTGGTTGCTGTTGCTGTAGTGATGGTTGCTGTTGTGGTGATGGTTGCTGTTGCTGTGCTGTCACGTAAGGCCCACTACAGAACCCTGACAGTTCAGCTCTTCATCCGCACTGTTTACAATAACCAGCCTTTGCCAAAGATAAGCACCCTATCGGCAATGAACATGCTAGCTGCAGCCTGGGACAAAGTGTCTGATATAACAGTTCAAAACTGTTTTAAAAGAGCTGGCATATCGAAGGAGTCACAGGAGTGTGCTGAAAATGATACTGATGACCCTTTCAAAGAGCTCGATGAAGAACTCAACAACCTTAGAGAAAGACAACAAGATCATACACCACCAGAAGTTAACCTTGAAACCATGATTGAATGCGATGATGAACTCTTAACAGCAGACACTGAGCTGCCCCGTGATGCTCACATTATTGCTGAATTTCAACCAAATAGCAATGAGGATCAAGAGGAGGAGGAGGAGGAGGAGGAGGAGCTTGTCACTGATGAGCCACCCCCTAAATACCCCTCAAGACAGGAACTCAGTCATGCTATGGACATGCTGCAAACATTCAGTTTGTTTGTAAGGGTTGATGTCCAACATCAAAAATATTTCGAGGATAATCAATAGAGATTGATCAGTTGAGAAATGTCAGGGACTAATAACTGACATTTCTCAAGTAGGTAATTCCATGAACTCTGTCGCAGTACCCTGACGTTGTCTGCATTACCTAGTCTTCCCCTGGTGTTTTGCAAGCTTTGTTTTGTTATGTTACATTCTATTTGCAGAGTATGTAGTCAAGAAACATAGTTTCATTACAATTATAATTAAATTTAATTTAAATGTACAGTACTGTACATTGTATAGATAGAAGTGCACATAGACAGTGTTTTTTCATTATTAGAAAATTCTTAGAAAAAAGCAATAGAAACATTTCATTACATACATACAGTAATTTAATTTAATGAAATTAAAGTGTACATTGTATGAATAGAAGTGCACAGGATCATCATTTTGCCTTATTTCCAGTCATTTGTTCTCAACTCCTGGTTACTCAAACTCCCAATAACTTGAACCTTTTTCTATTTCCCCTGAAGGTTTGAGTTATCGAAAGTCGATTGTATTTTATCAGTCCTATCTTTACTGCTAGTCTGCGTATTTGTGCTGTCACATGGATCAGTTTTCTCCAGCTTGAGAACTTGTGTGGATCAATACCATTGCTAGCTTTTGGTGCTGTGACTGTGGCCAGTATCTGTATTTGACGGTGTTCCATGTCTACATTAGGGGCTGGCGGGGCTTTCGTAATCAGCCATTGACTTTCTGGTAGGTATAAGAACTCTGGTCCATTCTTCCATCTGCCTTGTAACTCATTAACGCAGATCCCTCACGACAGGCCGTCAGCCACACTATGCTCACTGAGATATGCTTCCACTGGTTTGGATCGGTGTTACTTTGAATTTCTCCCACTCTTTAAGAGACAAACAATGTAAAGCTGCACGATGGACTTTGAATCCAGGCCAAGGTGATCAAACTGTCAGTAAAGAACTTACATCTTTAAACTGTATCCTAGATTCCTCCTGAATGGATTTGGCTCGGAGACTTGCAAGAACAGCTGCTTGTAGCTCCAAGCATGGAATTGTCAGCTGGTTCAGCGGGAATACTTGACTGAACTTGACTGCGTAAGTACAGGGCTCAAAATTGCGACTCACTGGTCGCCAATGCGACCAAAAATTGAGCACTGGCGACTAAGTTTTCAGAACTGGTCGCCAGCTGCCGACTCGCGTTTTGTCCGATAACTAAAGAAAACCACGACACAACTTTTGTTTTTAAATCTTTATATTAGGAAATCAATATGATGTGGTACCTAGTATACAACTCACCTTTCCGTCCCCAGTAAAATAATGTCTGAATATTACAAGATAATTSAAAAAATTGACATGTCGATACGTCGATATTGCGTTCAAGGTGCGCCATATTGTTTCAGCGGCTTCTTCCGAAACTGGGATTGCAGGCGCACTTCAACACCATGTGCTTTTCATTTGCCGCGAAAATGGCGGCAGATGTCAATCAGTTGAAGGAATTACGTGAGTTTTTAGGTGCAGGGAATGAAGATTCAGCCAAAAGGTTAATCCAAACTTTGAATCCTTCGAGGAAAGCAAGTCGAAAATAAAGAGCGGCATTTCAAAGAAGCAGTAAAGGAAATATACGCAAGGACCCGTGTTTGTCTCACAATGAAAACCACGGACTTAAAACATTTAATGCTTCGCTTCATTTAAAACGACTATGGAGACAACCATCACCTTCGAACCAGAGACATATTACCTGAGAACAACAGTAGCTTTATAACTTACTGTTATTCGTGTTGTTTCTAATTGTTTTCAGCGCTCTTCAATTGTGACTTTTCTTGCATGCTAAGTAACGTATAAAATCGTGTTCTTGTGCAAGTTATATATGAAATAAGTTGGCGACCAAAATTTATGATCTGGGGACCAAAATTTTTCCGTTAGTCGCCAGCTGGCTCCCGAACAAAAAAGTTAATTTCAAGCCCTGAAGTATTGTTATCCTTTCTCTGGCGTGCATAGGCACATGCTCCAAGTGCATCTTCTGATGTGTCAGCAAAAATGCATAACATTAGCGGTTCCACAGCATTGACCAATGTTAAACATCTTTCAAAGGACACTGTCTAGTCACGGCAGGGCCAAACCACCCCTCTTGTGGGTCTGCGGGAGCGCAAGGTGGGTTATGGATAAAACTCAAGATGGTGGAAAATTCAGAAATTCCATAACAAAAATCAAAGATGGCCGCCAAAGTAGAGTTTACTGAAAAGCTTTGACCTGCTTTGCAGCGCACTAAAACTGACTGTTTATCTGAAATTTTAACTGGGAATGGAATTAAAAAAGTGAACGACTTCTTTAAAGAGCTTGATGATGCCGTAGGAGTCTTGGAACACAAATACAGCCAGTGCTCCAGAGATAGCAATATCCAGCGACTGTTGCCGTTTCGCAGAATGGTAGCTAGGGCCTTAAGAAAGGTTCACAGCAAAATTATTCGCCGCCTCAGTTCAAGACCGAAATTAGCCAATCCATGGCTCGGTGAATTTACAGTGGACATGCCCATGGAGGTGTTTGAGTGCATCTCAAAAGATATCCTGGACTGAACAAATTTTGGTCATGAATTTAGTGAAACGAACACCCAAATGTNACAGTGGACATGCCCATGGAGGTGTTTGAGTGCATCTCAAAAGATATCCTGGACTGAACAAATTTTGGTCATGAATTTAGTGAAACGAACACCCAAATGTTTTACAAAATCATTGATTTTCGAAAGGCCAAACGTTTATTCACGAGAATGGACATTGATGGGGCTGAAGTAGACCGGGAGAATATTTTAAAAAAAGCCACTCAATTGTGAAATGGAGAGGTGTGAGGTGATTGTTTTGGATGAGAAGCCACTGGAGTTGAAGTTTCATAAGAAAAACGAAGTTCTGACCGTGAAATTTCACTATGGCTACTGGAACATGGACGGTGTACCACAGCCCTAGATCTAGTTAACCAGACCAGACATATTATTATTTTTATATTATTGTTATTAAAATGTTCGATATACTTGTTAATTGTTGTTACACTTACACTGAAGAATCACACTGAAGAATTTATATATAAATAATGGTTTTCATGAGCATAAAATTGACATTATTGTTTTCATTTTTTTATTAACGATTGTATTTGCCATTTTCTGATTACATTAAGGTGGTTGTCATTGCAGCTCTGCACCCTGTTCAGGAGGTTCAAAATGCTGACAAGGTATACTATAAATTCACTGTCACGCAGTCCTGATGCAATAAAAAATTTATTCAACAACCATTTAGTGGATTAAATCAAGAAATTGTGACGTTATAGGAGATTAATGAAGATGGCACTTCGCTAATTTTTAAGTCTGTGCATTTTCCCAAGCTCAGATATTTGTCCAAATATTTTGCACAAATTCAGAGACCAATATCTCTGCGGTACGCTAACATTGCCGCCGGAAAATAATGTGAACATCTGGAGCTTACTTTGGCTATCTAGGCGACTGATTATCTATACTGAACAAACAAGCATTTACATAAGCACTTTTCCTAGTACTTTAACTGCTGATTGGGCTAAAAATCATGACATAAGTATATGTTTTTTGACAAATGTGTTTGTAGGTCTATGTCACGCACTGCCATAACTCAGAAATTCAAAATGTCTCGCTTCCTTGAGAAACGCAAATAACAACGACAAAGGCTGAGGAAAATAGACTGAAACGTTTATAGGCTGATGTAAAGACCTTGACTCTTTTCACGCCCTAAAGACCTGCAAACGTGTAATAAGCTTTTAATCGATTCCGAGATATGCAATCAAAAGCAGATGAGCTTAAGCACATCGATTCATTTGAATTTCGTACAACTTCAAATGCAGAACATTGAGCTCAATTGCAATATAGCTAGTGCTTCTCAGTATAATGACTGCCTGGGTACATGCAGCAAAGTGTCTAGTTCTCCATTGAACCAATGCAGGCAGGGGTTTCTGCTGTCTAGAAACAAGCACATATCTACAAGCCTCAGCAGAAAAGGTTTCAAGGGCCTGTATACACCAGATGTTGATTCCAGGGAATGTTTGCTGGCCAGATCTTCCAAGGAGATAGTACATCACCAATTTCTATGCCTCTGACAAAGCTCACGAGTGTTTTGTAAGGCAAAATTTTTGGAACTTCACATCCTTTCATAAATTCTGTTTTCTGGTTTTTCTTTTTCTTTCCAGTCTCTTTCACGACATCTGAACTGTTTCTAATGCTTGTGTACTTTCTCTTGCTTATGAGACCTCCTTCATATAGTACACAGAAGCTTCTCACTTGATTTTCCTTGCTTTGTTCATAATGTTTTATTTTGCCGTTGATAATACCTGGAATTATCTCTTGCATGCAAATATTTGAATTCCTAATGTAAGTGTCATCTCAGGTTTTGATGCAGTGCATATTAATGTCATCCACAAACCATCAAGCACTGGTTTGTTGTCTCGGGGCAATTTTCTCTTGGCTCCAGCACAAGTATGGATCGGTCCAAGTGCAGCCACAGTCTTCTTTCTATGTCTGAAAAACTGCCTCTTGGAAAGATTAAGTTTTTCGCTGTTGGTTAGATGGATTTCACTTGAGA